CCAGCACCCCCCGCCCCTGCCCGCCCCCCCCCCCCCCCCCCCCCATATGACCCAAAGAGATGCCGCATAAGGCAACAGCCTCACACTGTCTTATTATATGGATGGCTCTGTATACAGATCACCAACATTTCACTTACCAAACTGTTGTCACTTCTTTTATCCACCAAACTCCGAGTAAAATCTGAGCTCTGCAGAAAGGAGAAGAGAAAATTTAGGGTCTATACTTCAGTATGTAAGAGGCTCAGGATTGATAAGGACTGATACAGCACATCTGGGGCTCAGGTTATAAGTCGCCGGTGCTGGCCTAGGTTTTGGTGCACTACTAAGATGGAGAGTCCAATTTAGGGAACAATAGGAAGAATGAGAACCTCAGGACACTTACAAATACTGCAACTTGCAGTCATTATGGTTCAGTGCCTGTGTGAAACACAGAGGTTCTTTTGTACACAATATGGCTAAAAGTTTGTGAACACCTGATCATCACACCTACAGTATATAAGCTTGCTACACATTTCCTTTCAAAAACAAGAGCATCAATACTGAGATTCAGTCATGCTGGAACAGAAAACGACCTTCCCTATATTGTTGCCACGAGGTTGGAAATTCCTAATCATCTAAAATGTATTTGTATGCTGTAGCATTACTAGTATCCTTTACTGGTAGCACATCCAAAATTTGCAGGTGGTTCTACATACATTTTGGTCATATAGTAGGGATGCACCCATATCGGGTTTTCATTATCGAGTACAAGTACCCATATTTTTTTTCCGGTACTCGCAGATACCGAGTACCGATGCATTGTGTCCCATGAAGTCGGGTGGTGGATCATGACCCGCCGCCCGGCTTTCTGACTGCCTGTGAAGCCGATGTTTTAGCAAAAGAACATCGGCTTCAGAGGCTGTCTGGCTTCCTGAGGTGCCGTCTAGCTTTCAGATTAATCAGGAAGCCAGGCTGCCTAGCAACAAGTGAAGCCGGTTTCCTAGCCAAATAGGAAGCCTGGCAGCATGTCATGACCCGCCTACCAGCTTCCTGATTGGCTAGGAAGCTGGGTTCACTTGTTCCTAGGCAGCCTGGCTTCCTATCCAATCAGGATGCCAGGAGGCGGGTAATAACCCACCACCCAGCTTCCTGAATTGGAAAGGAAGCCGGCTCCAGGCTCCCTCATCACTCCTCTGGTATCGGAGCATTTGGGCGAGTACTCGCACTCGCCAAAATACTCTGTATCGGTGCATCCCTATCATATAGTGTAGGTGTGATGGTCAGGTATCATATACTTTGACTATATAGTGTACATTGTTTGTTTCTTTTAGCATCAGGAACCCGCCCCTAAGAGTCTAGGTTTCAGTACCAGGAACACCCCATAGAGTCCAGTTTGTCATGGCCACGATGGAGATAACACAGGCAGGCCTCAAACTACTATGACGGGGATCAAGCTGTACCGGATACTGAAAAACCCCCAAAAAGGGTAGAACATTATTTACCAAGCAGTCCTTCCAGTTCAGCAATGGTAAATTGAAAACTAGAAACCATATGAATCATATGTAATTTGTGCAATGTAACATTTAAACTCACTCTGGAGGGGTCAAGCAGCTGTTCTATCTGACGATCTTTTCGGGTATTCTCTTCTTCTAGCCTCCGGAGTTTTGTTTTCATGATGTCATTCTCAGATTTTTGTGCTTGTAAAGTCTTTTTAAAAAAGTGAAACGTGTTGAAAACCATGCATGGCAAAAATATATAATAAATCCTGCACTAAGATATGGCGTATAACCTAAAGTATAATGTATACATCGCACAAAGGTCACTTTACCAGGTTTGTGTGTCCATAATACATAGAAACAAATGACATAGAAATATATATGAGACAGAACCCCAAAGTCTGCTTAGTACTCAGTTCAGCCCCTGTGCATACCTATAGTACAATGTTTCTTCAGGGCTGCAGTAAAACAACTAGATCTACCCAACTGTTTCCTAAAATCAAATCTGTGGTGGGGACCTAGAAGGCAAACGGACCATGACTATGCATTGAAAGAACCCAAGAATGACACATAGTTCACTTGCAGTGCCCCAAACCACAGCTGCAGGCCCCACAGGAAACAGACACTTCCAGGTAAGGAGCAGACCAGTATGCTCACTCCAACTTCTATGCTCATGATGTAATGCTTATGGAACTACAACCTCCTATGCCCAAAGGCAATGTAGGTGCCATCTAAGCCTCTGCTAAGATTAGAGTTGCCATGATGCTATACATGTAATCAGCTATGACACCAACCATTTGAGGGCTGAAAGTTCGGTTGAGAGCTGAAACAAGCACATTGACAATCCTGACACTTTTCATGCTTTAAAGGTAACGGTTTTGGGGGACATTACATTGGTAAGTAAAGTTCCTCTTTAACATGCTCTGGCATTGTTAAATGCCATGACCTATGCAAATATGGATTTTCAAAAATCTTGATCTTTGCATCAACATCAGGGGCTGTACTGGCAGATTTTGCTTTGTGCAAGAAAACCCAAAGTATTATCTGGCACCTATAAAGATACTGAGAGAAATAGGGACGAACATGGCTGCAACTATAATCTGTAAAAGTTCTGAATCTTTCTTTGTTTAACCATATGAGGCAGGACAGACATGGCAGATGAATCAGCTTCAGTGAGATGAGAGTCATGTGGACATACCTTCTTCAGATCTAAGATCTCATCATACATGTCCTCTTTCTCTTTAAAGTCTGGTGTTCCTGGGATGTAACCTGCCAGTAGTTAAATAATAAATGAATTCACATTAGTTATTTAGGAAGTAAAACACACAGACATTAAAAGGTGTCAGTCTATCTGTTTTTGGTACGTCAGTAAATTAACTAATCAACTCAAAAGCTTCTTCTACCGTTACGTACTATAACAGTGAGATTTCCTTTCCCGAGTTTCTATATGTAGCCAGCATCTCTTGTCACTATAAGGGCATCTTATGCTCTATGGATTTTTTTTGTATTTTACGGTGTGGAATATACGGCAGGAAAAATTAGATTTCAAGTTAGCTGAGAGGACAAAACTGGGATCTCATTGGTGAACGTCAAGGAGATATCAGAAACCAATGGGTGGAGTAGGTCACCTTTGTCAACCCATATATCTGAAATAAGATATTGGGTGACCATAAACTGACCATTTAATCCATCAGGTATAGTCCTGAGCCCTCATCTCTCCAGGGATACAAAATGATTGATAGAAGATACATGATTTCACCTCCTCTGTATTATATCTATAATGATCTTCAAGTGGAGTTCAGGCAATTTTGAATATTGTGGTATTTGATTTTTACGAGTTAGGGATTGTGTTTCAATAAAATGTATGTGTATTAAACAGTCAAAGTACTTGTATTTGTGGGATGCAGCCATTTTTAAGGAGAAATTAAACTCCAGTGTTAAATCTTAAATATGCATTCACGTACCTTCAATATTAACAAAAATGTATCTTATTTGTGTATGACCCAGAAGTAGAGCCTCAAATTGGTGCCGACACTGTTCTTCCTTCTGGAGGGTGGCTACTTTGTTTCTCATGGTCACTGTGTGTGTTGTAAAGTAGTCACCGCCCCAAGCTCCCTCCCAGGATGGACTCCAATCTCTGTTTAGTTTGCTTATTTCTATTGATATTGTAGTCCACACAAGAGTGAGCTTGGAGCGGTGACTACTTTACAACACAAACAGGGACCATGGGGGACAAAAGTCGCCACCCTCCAGAAGGAAGGACAGTGCCAGCACCAATGCAGAGATGATTTAAGGATCTACAGCCGAGTGATACACAAATAAGGTACATTTCTGTTAATAGTCAAGTCCAAGCTCACTCTCGTGATGGGCTACAATCTCACGTTTAGTTTACTGATTTGTATTGAGATTGTGATACAGCCCACTGTGCGAGTTTGAACCTCGTTGCTGTAGTTCAGTATTTGTAATTACCGTTACTAGAGGAGCGGGCGTGTTTAGGCTTCTTCATCCCGAAAGCTTCCTTGAGATACTCTGGTGTACCGCTGCCAGGGTTCACCCAGGCCTGCCCAATATCAGTGTCTGATTTTAGGGGCTGAGTAAGGCCTGTGTGGAGGAAGTACAAGATCACAATGAAGAAACCAATTAGGCAATAACATTAATGGAAATATTGACTCCACAGATACCAGATACTGCTGTGAATAAAATTATACCAACATCTCCAAGTAAAATCATGTATATCTAGTAGATTAGGAGTAGGGATGAGCTCAGGTTTGGTCTGAACTCGAGCCTGGAATATTTGAACAAATATGGCTGTGGAATGTCCCTTGGCACCTTCACATCTAATAGACTGCATAGGCATGATGATGTCACAAGTCGTTAGACAGCCAGAGCAAGAAGCTATGGGGACTGATCTGATTTTTAAACACAAGGTAATAATAGGATTGGATACTTACTATTGTCTTGTTTAAGTGATGCCAGCCACAGCTGTCTGGGCACCTTGGCCATTGGGTTCTCAGTGTGCATCTGACCTGTTCCTTTCAAGGACCTCCATACTGGTGCCTTTTTTGGGTGCAGCTTGGTACTGGAGAGATAGGGGGAGTCTAAAAAGAGAAGAAAACTTACTATAGGTCTCCATCCACATCACAAGTTATGATATTCATATATGCTATTAAACGTGGCCTGCCCCTTCTATAGAACTTACACCAAGGGACTATAAAAACTGCTTGGGCACTGAGCCTGCCGATTTCTACTTGTAGGTAGTGGAAGCACTGCTAGATCATTTACAGTTCAATCACAATGATTCAACCCCCATTTCAAATGTTCAGGTTTATTGGCACAATTTACAGACAGACATTCAGCTGTTTGCAATGAACAAATCAAACAAAAGCAATTGAAATAGGTCAACACAATGGGGTTTCCCCAAATTCAACTGAAAACTCAACTTTGAATGACTTCTGCAGTCTGAAAATGATTCAACCTTTTCCTGGAAAGCATCTTAAGTACTTAGTGGAGCACCCTTTTGCTGTTATGACCTGCTGCAAATGAGATGCATAGCCAGAAACCAAATTCTGACAGTGTTCCCCAGGCATTATTTGTCACCATTCATATATAACAATACATAAACAGACACAGCGACAGGCCCCTGTATGCACATGCATGAGATCTGGTGTCCCCTGTGTTTACATGAATGGAATGTGGAAAGTAGGTTCCCCTGGGATAGCTGATGCCTCTAGCCCAGGAGGCTGCAGAAGGAAATTTAAACGTCATTCTCTCCTAGGCAAGGATGGAGTCTGCGACGGGTCCAGCAGCAGAAAAAGATAAAAAAAAGGTATAAAAATTATCAAAGAAAGCTTGGCTTTATTCAAAAAGAGTAGGGGGGAGGATTAGATTGGTGAAAAGCTTTATTTTTAAATGAAGGTCTACTTGAAAGTAACCCGTCATATATTCATAAAAAAGAACTTGCCGAACTAAGATGTGTCAGCAAGTATCTATAGTTAGCAAATAGTCTTCTCTGTCCTTGGTAAGCTGGCTATATACTGTAATAATTTCTTCTTTCAACCTACGGGCTGAACAAAGAAAACATAACAGATTCCTCCATCAATGCTACGAGCGTTGATCGAGGAAACTCCCGCTGTCTTCATTATGGGTGCTATCAGAATACCCGAACGGAGCCGGCAGCTGATTGGCTGCCCACTGTTTGAAGATTTTCTGACTAGCTCCTTCGATCAGCTGTTCGAGGTATGCTGGTCAAAAGGGTGCCGGCAGCGACACCCACAGTATGAATTTCAGCCAGTTCATCAAGAAGCAGACAAAATTGGCATAGTTTAGCCTGCTTAAGGCTGTTTAACCACCTCCCGTCAATGGCTGTTCCTAAACGGCCGGACGGGAGCCTTATAGGAGCGGGAGGGCATCCTAAGACATCCTGCCCCTCTCCCGGCTCATTCGTGACGTCATGCGCTCACACAAGTGGGAAACTGTCCCTAGGTGACATTAGGGGTTTTAGAGACTCCTGATGTCTCCATAAAGAGTACCTGTCATATGAATTGGCTATCACATAGGGGATTTCTTAGTCCCCTATGTGATAGCAATAAAGTTAAGCATAAAAAAAAAGTTTAAAAAAAAATTAAAGCATAAAAAAAAGCTAAAAAAAAATGTTAAATAACACAGACATTTTTTTGAAAGTACCCTGCCCCCCACATACACATGCAAACATGCGTCGGGTGCGCCAACGTGCAAAAATTACGATTGCGCCCATTACGCCACACATATTACATATCGCCTCGATTTTGCGGCCGCGCGCAATTTTTAGGCTCGACATGTTTGGTAACCCCGTCTTTTATTTTTTACCAAAAAATTGGGATGATAATAAATGTTTCATAACATTTCATAGGGAAATAGTTTTTTTCCCCCCCAAAATGTAGGGTACTTTTTTTGTTATATACTAAAATTAAATACCACCAAAAGAAAGCTCTATCTGTCCCCCAAAAATTTTATAAAAACTTTATTCAAAAAGAGTAGGGGGGAGGATTAGATTGGTGAAAAGCTTTATTTTTAAATGAAGGTCTACTTGAAAGTAACCCGTCATATATTCATAAAAAAGAACTTGCCGAACTAAGATGTGTCAGCAAGTATCTATAGTTAGCAAATAGTCTTCTCTGTCCTTGGTAAGCTGGCTATATACTGTAATAATTTCTTCTTTCAACCTACGGGCTGAACAAAGAAAACATAACAGATTCCTCCATCAATGCTTATGAGAGTTGATCGAGGAATCTCCTGCTGTCTTCATTGTATTCTGAAAGAGGGCGCCGGCTCATCGGCTGCCCACTCTGTTCATTCGGAGATTTTCAGCTGATCGAGGGATGCCAGCCGAAAGGGTGCAGACAGTGGCACCCCCTGTGCGTAGTCTTGATGAACCGGCCAACATTTGCATAGTGTATGGCCAGCTGTAGCCATTTGAAATAGAACCCCTCTATATACACTTGGAGCTCCCAATACCCCTCCATCCACAATATCATTCTAGCTGCTCTCTGTCAACTCTTAGGGAATAGTGTTAGATTGGCAAGTTTTAGTTTTTTTTTATAAATTACAGCTTTCCTTTAAATGAGGGATAAATCTCTGGTCTTTGCACCTCGTATATTGGACGTGATTAGATGTATCATGTATTGTGATACTAAAATAAAGAGATACGATTTCCTTTACTGTAACCTTTGCAGAGATTATCAATATGGAAAAGTAACTGGTTGGAAGAGACACTCACTTTGTGACCTGGGGGGTTTGATGGCTTTTTTCTTCTTTACTTTCTGCACAGAAAAAAATAAATGTCAGAAGCAGACAATTCTACTAAATTATCTATTTACTGTTCACCCATCTAAATTTTGGAACATACTGTATTAGTTAAAGTATATTGGGGAGAATTTATCATAACTGGAGCAGACAAAAACTCCTCCCTCTGCTTTGCCATTTACTAATCACAGCTACAGTGTCTATTATAGAAAAGAGCTAATGTGTTAATATACAATGGGGGGGATTTATCAAAACTGGAGCAGATGTGCATGACAACCAATCAGCTTCTCTCTTCAGTTTGTTCAGTTAAGATTTGAAAATAAAAAAGAGAAGCCGATTGGTTGCCATGCACAGCTGCTCCAGTTTTGATAAATCCCCCCCCCCCCCCCCACTCTTTTTGATCACGCCA